GAGAAAAGATAAAGATTTCAATGATATTAAAATCAATGTATTTACTTACTAAACGATATGTTTTGATACTACTGTCTCAATTTCTGGTATTGTTATTTGTTTACTTTTTGAAAAATGTTGTAATTATTGATTACATTAAAAAAATGTATCAATAGTGACAAATATTTGAGTCAATAACGTGAAGAAAACAATTATTGGAGTGTCTAAAAATATCAAATTAATTGAAAGCTCATGTAGGGAGCATTAACCGCTCATGTAATAGCCAATTCAAACGACCGATAATAGTAAGAGCCAGAAAGTCAGTCAATATTTAGAGACGTATGATCCGCGACCTGCTATTTCTAAATTTTGAATATGTGTTGTTCATTTACGCTGAAAAGTTTATGCAACATCATCTTCACACGTAGAACACTCTTTCATCGCTTATTCCATGAATAATGTTGGCACACTTGCTTGTTTCTGATTTTGTTCACTGTGCCAATAAAATATAGCATTTGATAAATAAGATCATTGGTTATTCTTTATTCTCTTTATGTTTTCTACTTGTCATTGTTCATTTGAATTGACCTATTTCCATATTGTAACGTGGAAGAATATTTATAAGTGTGCATTTGAGATTTATTGCCAAGTATTTTGCAAGAAATAAAACTTCCGTTGTGAATTTTTTTTCCAATTCTATCTTGGCGATAAATGGGAATTGAACACCCAATTTGAAAGATGTCATGATGATTTGGTAGTTTAGTTACTTTTATGGGCAAAGAATATTTAATTGGTATTAAACTAAATTTTATTACCAGGAGCTGGATGAATGTTTATGGTCGTTTAATTAACATAACAACAAGATAAAAAATAAAAATTCATTGTAAAAACTTCTTCAAAATTCCAAATTAATAATTCAAGTGATTGATTTATTAGTTATTAAATAATAGAGCCTAGAAAAATATTCAATAGAATCAATTCAATTGAAATTAAAAAACAAACCATTACACACCGGAACTAATAAGCAATTACATTGTGCGTCAAAACACTAAGGAAAGGGATGAGCTCGACGACACACCAGACAGCTACATGGGCTTGATGAATAACTAATTAAACCGGAGATGAATCAAGCTCCAGTAGCCACAAGCCAATCAAATAGTCTAGCCGCCTGGTAATACGTATTTGTACATTACGAAATTATTTAATAATTGTGCTATCGTACATGTTGAAGAATAAACAGACAACGGTGAATCGCATGGACGGAGTTGCTGGAGTATGTCTGACTAATTAGGTCAAACCCGGATAACTCTACTTAAGTGTTCCTACATACAGAGAGTTTCATTAGTATCTTGTATTTCTTCAAACACTAGTTGAAAGCTCGTTAGGTTCTGAGTAATTTGACTGTCTATGTCAAGTCTTGATTCTAGTGTTGTTGGAATATTTAACATGAATAGTCTTATGAACACGAATGAATTTATTGAAGCATTATGACTGGAAGGTGCTTTTAGTGGAAATGTTTAATTTTTATTAGAACGGTGCTGCTTTACTGCTTGATATTTATGATAAATATTCATTTGTGTTAAAGTATATTTTTTCTAAAAAGATTTTCTCAATAAAATTTTTAAAGATCGTAAATTTATTGTTGCAGTTTTTTATAAATATTTTCGTTTTAAATGTTTAAACAACATTTAAATAATTAACATCCAAACGAAATGCATTATTACATCATTTTCAAAAAAATAAAATTATGTTTGATTCTTTCGTTTCTTTCTATGCCTGAGTGAAATAAATAAAATGTGAAATATATGTGAAAAAAATTGATTTTCTCTAAAAATAATCCAATATAAATATCATAAAATAGATTTAAATAACAATAATTATATAAAATTTTCCCATATGTAGTCATTTCAAAATGATTTTCGGTTTGTCATCAATAACAAATTAATGAGCTGTACATAAATTCATTGACAGCTAAAAGTAAAATTCTCTTCTGTTTTTTAACTATTTTCAACTACCAACATGAATATTTATCATCTATTCCATCTGTTTTTATTAATAATTTTGTTGATTTTATCATACTTGTTCTTGTCATAACGCATAATCATACCAATAAAACTATTGAGCGATGGAAGAATATATTCTGTTGTTTTCATTTGATACATAACACGTAGTTTAAGCTCCATACGATGTGGCAACTACGGATTTAATTTCTCTGACGGATTGAAAAAATCGATAAATATGGAGATAATTTATGAATTAACTCAAAAAAAATGTCAATGAACCAGAAAATATTCACTTTAATGAAATTTTATATGAAATTCTCGAATATTGATGATTTGTTTCATCATCAAAAAAATAAAAGTTTCTTACCACTTTCTTACTATTTTTAACAATTCATATTAATAAAGAATAAGATACTGTTTATAACCAATTTTCATCACTGTCAGATATCTTAGTTCTTTCAATAATTTCTTTCACACGGCAACCTTCTTTCATTTACAAATTTTCATGGTCACATCAACAACATTTTTGTATAAAAAAATGAAAAATAAACGACAATCTTAGATCATATTGATCTAAATAAAGTTTTATAATAAGGCTATTTATAAAAAATGATTATTTAGAATACTAGAAGATGTCCATCTAATAGTCTTTAAACCCGGAAAAACGGATTTAGAATGTTGGCCGGCTTCGTTAAAATTTCTTGAAGCTTTGCAAACGAGCAGTTGGTATTGGCTCATATAATTGGTTAATAATGGTAGTTCTCCAACGCAAAGTGTTTTGAAACAAATTGATTTTTTTATGAATTAACAAACAAATGAGGTTACAAAAAAAATTTTATTCCAATATAATTATTATCATTCGGATAACAACATGTGGTAAAGGAGCAAACAAGTGGTGGAATGAAAACTTTGTTAAGTACTTAATTAAGATAGAGATTAATACATTTAGTTATATCAATAATAGAAATTATATCTATTTTTAGATTTCATAAATTGATACTATTTAAAAGATATCAATAATTCTGGTTATCATCAATTAAATTTATAGACAATAAAAATATGGAGGCGTAGCATCCGCCAAACTTTCCAAAGCGAAATGAATTTGAATGAAGTATTATTAATTGAATAATATTATGATGTTTTATATTCATGGCTACAAATACAGAAAAGATTGAACCGCCCTGGAGGCCACCAGATTAAGGCAAATCCAAATTAATTTTACAAAAATTCAAGGTCTCTGATATTTTCTTCGTTGCTAATTAATAATTTAGTATTATCTTTTATTGAAAAGTCGTCTGCATTATGGATACATTTTTTCTACACATCATTCTATGTCGACAGGATGTGCATGTTGATGGATCACTTCAAATTACATCATGCAGTGTAGTTTATGTAACAAATGTTAGAATAACAAAAAGGTATGATGATTGTTCAGAAATAAAATTTCAATTGAAACGATACTAATGATAAATAGACACGAGTTTCTTCTAAGAGTCAAAATTGTCTTGTTCTAATTCTTCATCTATTTTTATCCCAGTAGTCAGCTCATTTGGCTCATCTATGCTGTCATCGGGTTATGACATATAAATACTTCATAAAAGAACTTTGACTTGTTTTCTTATATTATGTATTTAATACACGTGCAATTGGTGTATCTTCCCAATTAATCGTTTAATTAAACATAAAACCTAGGCCGATTACATCGAATACTTGGATTATTATTTCAATTTGGATGACATTATAATGTCGGACGATGACCCAACGTATTTGTGATAATCATCAATTAACCTTCATTCTAAGTAAATATAAACAAATATCTCAAATTTATTTATTATGAATTTGTATAAGCAGATTTGTGTTGAAGTATTTAGTATTTAATTGATGTGGAAATTTATTTAACTCATATTTATCCTATATTAGATCTTTAATAGTTTCTTGATGGCTAGAGAGAGTAATCTATACCACATATTGAACATTCTGCTGCTATTGTTAAATTTTATGCAATAGAAGTTAGCTTCAATATTTATTATATTGATCTAGAAAATATAATTTTCCCTAATGAAATATTAAATGTATAAAGACAGCAAATAAATATTATCAAAAATTTTCAAATTGCTGATAAATATTTCAGGTTTTCCCCTATTATTGATTTTATTTTACTCTTTATACCTGTTTATTCTATTGTTTTTGTCCAACATTCTTATACTGCCTGTTCCATATCATTTTTTTATTTTGTATGTCACATGTTTCAGACAGTGTCTATCGTTTTTGTCAACCATCTGCAAAAATACTTGCAGCATCTCGTTCGTTGTCCGTGACCTAAAACTGTCTATCGTTATAAAATGTAAGGCACTTTGGGTATTTCAACCTTCTTCTTACACTTCAGATGTTTACTCGCTATTAGTTGCTCGTCTAATAACTGATTAATGATTTAATTTAAAAAAATTGAAAGTCATTGTTTGATTAAAAATTCCATTCCTTTTTCCTCATTTACTATTTCAATATGAAATATTATTATTTTTAAGCATAATTAATATAAAAGTTTTATAATCATAGTGATTAAATACTTATACATGTTTTCATCTGATGAAATGATCAAGAGCACAATATCCATCTATAAGAGCAAAGGTGTCTCTTTCACCAACTTTATCATCAGATCTTATATGTCATTGTTTTAATCCTTTCACCCTTCTCTTCTTCTTATATTCTACTGCTTCAAAATACATTACAAGTTCATTATAGAAACTTTCCTTGTTATTTATATCCTTAGGGTAGGTAGTGAGTAGAAATCGCTGAGATGTAACTATTTATCAAGCAACACGATTAAGATGTGAGTGATGATATCATGGAACATTAGAAGTGGCAATTACTGATAAAAGTGACATGCCGGTGAAATCATGATGTATTACACCATAAAATTATTCTAATCATCAAGATTCCATATCACCATTTTTCACCTCTTTTTAGTCTTTATAACAAAAGAAAAAGGTTTAATAAACTATTTCCGTTTTGTTCTAGTTGTCTACTGTGACTATACGTCATCAGGTCGATCGTTACAGTTCTTGGAAGAGTATATTGCCAAGGAAGTATTACCATGCCTAGGTGATACTCGCACATCAACATCAATTTGCAGTCTGCAATCATCGCTATTCAGGTATGTTGAATTGCTATCTTGAATAGTCTATATTTCCATTTGGTGAAGACTAACCAGTGCCAGCTAACCCGAGGTCGGCACCTTATCCGGAGTGGATCTTTGTTCAATGAATTCCGATGGAAGTCCCCGGGCCAAGCGCAAATCGCGTCAAAGAACTCCAACGTGGACGCACGCGCAATGTAACCGATCGGTTGATGTAGGCCAACGGAACCTACAACTTCTATAGAATCTCTTCTCCCTGTTACTCCGTAGTTTGAATCAATACTCAGCTTTTGCTTCTTGAATACCATGAAACTATAGGATTCAAATGTATTTAATAATCGCAATTACATTATTATTTCCTCATTCATATTTTTTTTCCTTTCTAAGAAAATTGAGATTATATATTTTGATTAATTATTGTTTATAGGTTTCTTCCTAGCTCTCGCTTTCACCTAGTCATTTGAACGTGAATTCGATCGAAAACCACTCGTTTAGATAATTCGTACAACTGCACACGAACATACTTCCCCTCACATTCACCATAATCTCACATCAGACGATTCAATGAGCGGAACGTGAGTTACTTGATCTGATTTTACTCTCACGAGATTTGCAAATCGTACATAATTTTTCATTCAAATTCTACATTGCTAGAAAGTATTAGTTTTTCATCTGGACTATTTACTTGTTAGTTTATCGATTCTTATTTTTACTATGCTAAACTAGAAGCTTCATAAAGTGTTTGTTGATCTTGATTTTCTTTCATGTTTCTATATTTACGTTACTTCATACTTTTATATATGATGAAAAGGGTATATTCACCACTACTTTTGCGCACGTGGTTTCCGTGAAAGCGTTCATAATTAATTGGAGTATTTATACTAGGCCACAAGGCCATCGTCATACTACAAATCATGTATATGTTAACATACGTGTGACACATTGGATTCGATAAACAATAGTTCACAGAATCAGGAAAAATTACAAATTATGCACCACATTAGGAATCTCATTTTTTATTAAATTGATAAACTTTGAAATTTAATTAATGGAGTAATAACAAACATAGTCGACAATGTAAAGCTTCTCTTGAATTGTAAGTTGTAATAAGGAATAAATTATTTGCTGAATATGATAATACAATATGCGGTTGTTTGAAAAAAAAACGAATATTGAAGATGGAAAAATGTATTGATCATTTGAATAATTTATTCAAAAAGTAATAAAGAGATATGTTATGTACAAAAAAATTCTAGTAAAACATTGAAATAGAATGTGTTTATATTAATAAATGAAACAAGCTTTTTATTTTCAAGGTCGAATGAACAAGCAAATTAATGTTAAAAATTTCATTTAAAATTTTTATGAGTTATACGTTTTGCTTTCTTTAACGAATTAATTAACATAATTTCAATCATATCAAAAATTTAATGCAAATAAATAATAAATATCTGTGGAATTTACTTGAAATATTTATTATAAGTTATTATTCAATAAACGAAAGACTATAGATCATTTGTTTTCCAAGAAAAAAAATTAAAAAAAGTATCATTGGAAGTTAAATTTAAGAAGCAACGAAAGAAGACAAGTTCTTTCAAATTTATGCATTTTTAATAATATCTTTGATAATTTTGTTTCTTTTTAAGTAATTATGACATTTTTTTAATAAAAATAAACCATCAGTATGAATTTCAAACAAAATATCAATAAAAAAAAGTAGTTATTTTTATTCACTTGAATAAAAAATAGAAGTAGGGTAGAAATTAATATAAAAATGTAATAGCGATAACAAAACATGCATCAACACGTTAAAGTCTTCACTAAAACAGGAAATTCACTCATACTGAAGAATCTAATGAACTGAAAAATGTAAGTGACGTCTACGAGCATGTTGAAGGAATAGAAAGTTAGGAAGGAAAGTTTTATATACTAAACTCATAGCGCCAATGTCAGTTATACTGTTTTATGCTCATGAATAAGTATGAGAATTTTTCAAGTCTATGTAAATAGCATTTTCATACAGCAAATAAGCGACAAAATTAAAAAAAAAAATATATTGTGCAATCTCTCCTGTTAATACGTTTAATCCACGAGGAAATGAAGAGTATTTATTTTGTGGTAACTCGAAAATAGAATTTTCAACAACAGCGGATGTAATTTTCTCTGTTACAAAAACACTTGAATTACTGGAAAGCTATAAATTAGTTTAAAATTCAATGTTAAAAATGTTAACAAACAATAAACATCCTTTTGTACACACCTAGATATTTCTAGAATACATGACACAAGTATAGAGGCTGATATTAACATATTTATAATGACAATAAAATTTAAGTCTACTTGATCTCAGCATAATTGGAGCTAAAAATAGTAATTACCCAACGAGGGTGAATACAAAAAGGACAAAGAAGTCTATAAAAAACTGTATGATGATGCATGTAACTACGTAAGACGTGACAATTAAAATCTCTGCATCAGAAGATTATTTTTGATTTCTCCTAATACCCTTTATCTTTTATATCAAAAACAGATCAATACAATGGACAAACAAAAAATACCTACTGATCTAAAAATCATAACAAAAAGAAATGATAAAAAAGACCATATTTTATCAGTTTGTTTGAAACATTTAAAAATAGACCTTCGTCAATTATCAGAAATAGCATTTTTGAAACACCAAACATAATATTCTTGGCTACATGAAACTATCACGTGACAGTTCCAGTCATTATTATTTTTATTACCATTATGATGATCATCAACGAAAGGAGCTGACAGAAATGAAAAATTGCTGAGCTTAGTCATTAAGCTCACAAAGATATCAGTTTCGATAACGTTTTCACATAACTCCAAGTAACTGAGTTAATGTAAAATACTTACTTGTCTGAAGTAATATTAATAGACTAGCTGAAAAAATCATACAAGTAATATTACTATCAAATTCATACTAACAATTTTGAATTCATTAATTCCTTGTAATACTTTCTGACTTCTTATCTCGTCCAATGCCTACTTATTATACTTGGACTACTGTAAATGCCACAGAAAACGCCCTATTAGAACATAAATTTTATCTGGTTCTCACACTCTAATATCTATCATGTTGCAATTGCTACACATTCTTTATTATAAAGAAGGAGGCATTTGTTAGCTGAAGGCCTTGAATATTCAATAATTTCAAAGCTCATGAGATTTTTACTGAAACTTCACTTTCACTGCAAATATAAAAGCTCAAGGTTGTCGCCAAGGTTTTAGTGCCTTTTTTTATTTTTTCTTCATCAAATCTATTTTGACTTCTCTCAAGTTATTTTTGTTTTACATGTTTACTGTACTTGAGTCTTTCGAACCTCATATAATAAATTTCATCTTTAATGAATATTCTCAGCCTTTATTTTATAAGACTCCACAGCTCATTGACATTTACAGTGTGCTCTAAGGGACAATGTAACCTAGATATTCGAATGGTTGGTTACTGGAGCAATAACGGACCATCTTGCATTATTTCTTGGAAAGTCCTTGAGTAGTACATGCATTAGTCGATTAACTTTAGAGACAGATAGAAAGGAGTTCTAATGTTTTTCGCGGAAGTTCCTTTTTCTTCAACTTGTGGACAATCTTCTCTGAGCAGAATAATTCAGCGGGTTGCTTGCAATAAAGTACCGTAACTTTGATGTACCCTGACAACCCAACCATCTAAGGCATTATCTCAGCAAAGCCAACTTGAATTGATCTTCTGTGTTTTGTTAAGAATGAATGACATGGATTTAAACAATAAATAAAATTAGGTTTTTAGATTGAATGAAATGAATATATCATTTCATGAAGTGTAACAATAAGTGTAACAATATAAAAATATTAACTTAATTATTGAAATACTTTCAGCATTTAAATCCTTGTAAATTATTGTCAGTTATATGTTGATGAGAATGATCATATTGTTGAATTAAAAATTAGATCCACTATTCGTTTAAGGTTGGGATTCATGAGATCATATAAATGTTGACAATAATTGTACCAGTTTAATACTTTTATGTGTCTGCAAAAAAGTGCAGCTAATGACCGGTACTGTGAATGTTACAGGCACGAGGCCAGAGACATTGTTCGCCACGCAGTCGGAGCTGGAGAGCAGGATGCTGTTCTCTTTACAGGTCATGGTACTGACGATGCTCTGCGCACTCTTCTTCGCCATCTTGACCTCCCCCAAAGGCCAGCCGTTGTCTTTGTTGGGCCATTCGAACATCGCGCCAACTTACGACCCTGGCGGGAATATGGAGTCAAGGTATGCTATTTATTTATCTCTTTCTGAATGACGCTTTTATTTCAATTTAATCGAAGGTATTTTCTAATTTTGATGAAAAGGCTAGTGGAATATTTTCGGAAGCAATTCTGGGTCATTGATGCTCAGTAACTAGTTAGTAAAAGTCAAAGTCCTATGGAAATTTGCCAAAAGTTTTTCGAATTTAAACTTCGATCGTGCTTGATTTCAAGCCAACTTGATGTCTTAGCTCGTTTGGCGTAACATCAAGAACCTCGTGTTTTTCTATTGCAAAAAATTATTATATACACGTGACGTTACTTATAAATAATCAATCGGATTATTGATTTTTTTCTGTTTATCAAGTTCAAGTTATTCAATAATTCCAAAAATGGTAGTTAAATTCATCACCGACTGAATAATATTGAACAGTCATGTGATAAAAACATTTGTAACGGTTAAATTCATTTTAAAATCACTCATTATATTTCTGGAATAAAACCAAATAATTGACTTTACACAATCTTGTAAACTTCAATAAATTCCTTTGCGTAACCAGGTAGACGTAATTGCAATCTTGGCATTTTATAATTTTCAAAAATGAATCTTCCTTTCACTTTTTTCTTAATTTCATCTTTAACTAATCATCAACGTCAACATTACAGATAGTGAGGATTGCTGAAACTAAGGAAGGATTCTTGGATTTAAATGATCTTGAGCGGAAACTGAATGAAGAAAGATCATCAGGCGCTTTAATAGTTGGATGTTTTAATGTAGCAAGTTGTATTACTGGTGTACTTGCTGATGATGTTGCGACAACTCTATTACTTCATCAATATGGAGCTTTAAGCGTGTGGGACTATACATCAGCTGGTGAGTCTGCCCTGAAGGCCAATGTGATACATTGATAGCCTCTCGTGCATCATAAAATTATAATGATTAATTATATGTATTCACCTAAAAGACACAATAAAATTTCCATTTAATTATCTCAAAGTGTACACATAAGTTTTGTAGTGTTCATAAAAAAAATTAATTACTACTTTAAATATTATTATAACTCACGTGATAGTATTAAACATTTTTTTTAATTCTATTTTCAGCTCCATATATTCAAATGGATATGAATCCGCATTTAATAGGTGTGGGCGAGACGGCTGTACACAAAGATGCAATAATATTTAGTGGACACAAATTTACGGGTGGCGCCCAATCTCCTGGTGTCCTTGTGGTCAAGAGGTCACACCTCAAGAACGATATTGTCACTGAAGATATGCGCGACATGCATCAATATTTGAGAGACCCCGAGTTGAGAGAAGAAAACGGAACAGCAGGTGTCATTGAATCAATAAGATGTGGCCTAGCAATACAGCTAAAAGAAAGTGTTACTCCCCAAGCAATTGTTGCTCGACAAGATAAAATTTGCAAGTAAGTATCTCATTTTTCTATTTCGATGATTCTCTATAAATATCAATATTTTCTTTAGTAAACAGGCTGTAGAATTTATACTTATTAATTATACTTGGGTAACGGAATTTTTTTTTATTTTTTATGCAAAGTTGAATTTCTTTTATAAAATATGACATTATTATTATTATTTTTAATATTTAATATTTAATACTTAAAACAATGAAAAGGATAGACATAAAAAATGACAGCTAAAAAGAATAATCTATCTAACATTTGAACTTATATTTATTGATAAAAGACTCAATATAGAGCAAGTGTCAGTGATTATTTATTACACATGTAGTCGCGAAGAATGCTTAGAAATAGTCATTTGTACTATAAGCTCACAATTGTCTCATATCTTATCTGAAAAGATTGAATGATAATATAAGAATACATAACACATGTATTTGACATGCCTGTAAAAAAAAAATATGATATCCTTGACTTTCATCGATAAAAAAAAATGAATATCTCGATACTTTGGATTTATTAATCTTTGATAAATTTTTTTTAGACAAGTTTTAGCTCATGTAAGGACAATACCAGAGCTAATACTACTCGGCAGTAATTCACAAAATATTAAAAGACTACCAGTGTTTTCATTTATGGTCAGACATCCCAGAGGGACGTTTCTTCATCACAATTTTGTGTGTGCAATCCTGAATGATGTTTTTGGAATACAAGCCAAAGGTGGATGCGCTTGCGCTGGTCGATACGCCCACGATCTCATGGGAATTGACATTGACCTTGCTAAAAAATATGAGTCCTTGCTGATGGAAAAGTAAGATAATCTCTCTAGATAAATAAAGAATGACCTTTAGTTAAAAAAAAATACTTAGCAGCACTTGAATGAATTACATTGATATATAAATTAATTAATTTCAGAAATTCGAATTCGTCCCACGGAGAATCAAATGCAGAAGCTTTGCGTCCAGGGTTTGCGAGAGTGTCCTTGCCCTACTTTATGTCGGAAGCTGAATTAGCATTTGTTTTAGAAGCTTTGAAAATGGTTGCCACTGAGGGATGGAAGCTTCTACCGCAATATATATTAAACCCAGAAACCGGAGAGTGGCGGCATCACACAAACAGTGTATTTAAAGAACGTAGAGGGCTGGGGTCAATCAGATATACTGATGGAAAGATGATATCTTCTGAAAGACGAGTATCTGGAGGAGCAGGAGGAATTTTCCCACAAAGTTATGCTGACTGTTTGCATACAGCACGTAATATTTTCAATCGATCAAGAAAAATGGCTCACAGATTTCCTTTACAAATTGACAGAAGTGTATTCTCTGAACGAGGTGAAGCGCTTCGCTGGTTTATTCTCCCGAGTGAGGCTCAAGATCTTCTTCTTGGTAATTCACAGAATGTCAAACAAGATTTACCATTTGATCCTACCCAACGAAGACAAGTTGGCATGTGCTCAACACAAACAAATCCGATCAGAAGGCTAAACAGTGACATTCCTAAGTCTGGAAATCCTCCACTGTCTGTTGTGTCATCTCCGAGACATCATAGCTTGCCAGCATTGTCTATTGATTCGCAAGCAACTAGTAAACGTTTACATGAAAGTTCTAGTATACTATCGACGACCGATGATAACAACGAATCTTGTACAAATGCAAATGACAAACCTCTAGAGCTGAAAAAGCCTTCTGTTGAAACAGCATCAAATTCACCACCAATTAAATTCGCTGTAGGAGGTGCAGTTTCATCGCCTCTGATTATGGCAGCAACTCCAGCAAAATGTAGAGTTATGGCTACAGAACATAGTTTGTCAAACGAAGTTAATAATCATCGTGGAACTCGAATGCGATGTAATTCTCTTGGCAGTGCAGCTAATGGGACAAGTCTTCCAATTTCTATTCCATTAAGTCCACAAATATTATCTAACTTGGGAATGACATCTTCATCAGCAACTTTACCTCGTAATCATCGTCATTGTAGCTGCAGCAATCATACTGAGTTATCGAATTCTCTAGAATATGAAAGAACTTTCAACAGTCCAACGAAATCATCTGCATCATCAGCCACATCTTCGCCAACTTCTTCATCTTCACCAACACCACATCCTTATCCATCATCGTTTAATCATCATCACAATAATCATGGCAGTTATTTGCATCACCATTCATCAAGCCAATCTGATTCAATCCACAAATTTGGAAGATGCTCTCCGATTACTTCCACCTTTAGTCATAGCTCTGAGGATAATATTAAAGCATATTTTAAAGAAGTTACAAAAGAATTGGCTACAGAAATCAAATCAGAGATCAGAGAAGTTATTTCAAAAGTTGATGATGTTTTGTCAGAAAGTAATGCATCTGATAATGGCACTCCTCAACATCAAACGCAAAGGATATCTTCAATAAACAATGAAAAACATCAAAAAGATGATTCATTTTCTGCTAGCGAAATTGCTGAATATCTTATGGAATTCTCAAAAGAAATGGCAAGCGAAGTCAAGTCTGAAATTAGGTAAATATTATCACTGATTTCCATATTTTTTTGCTAATAAGTATGTATTGGTTTATTATATATATATATATATAATATTTTCGTTATTATAATATTATTCTGTAAACTCTTATTATTAGATTTTCGTATAAATAAATTATTATAAATATAAAAGTAAATAAATAAAAATGAAATAAATCTAATTATTCTTTTTTTTCTTTTAATGGACAGGTGTATGGTAAACCAAGTAGATGGGCTAGGTAGATTTTCTCCCGACTTACAATCAACAGCATCATTTGGATCAACAGGCTATGGAACGCCCGAGCAACGATGGCCTTCATCACCGCAAGCCGGATTAAAATTAACTAAAACACCCAAACTATGTGATCTCCAACAGATGCAGCAAGAAAGCAAAATGTCAAGTGAATGTTCTTCCGATGAGACTGTGATATATGTAGTAGGTCCTAAGATTACGACAAAAAAGGCATCAATAGATAACACCCATGAAAGGGCCAAAACATCGGATGAAGAAGAAGAGCATAGCAATAAACAATCAGTAAAAAGGGTAGTAGAAAAAGCTGCAGGAAATGGTTCAAAAACATTACCAGAAATCTATTCAGCAGTGAACTCAGTGAGTTCACAAGACAGTGGAATCAATTTATCTTTTAATGAAAATGACGTGAGACCTGCAGATCTAGGAAGAAGCAGCAGCACTAGCAGTAGTGGCAGCAGTACTGAATTATGTGGTAATCATATTTTCAATAAAAAAAATAAAATGACTTCAGGTGCAATAAGAAGACAAGCTAAAGAAGAAAAAATTCCTGATGATACTTCAGATGATGAATTTCAAGTTTTAAGAGAAGAAAGTGTAGATATTCCATTGTCTGATGACGAGTATGATACAAATAACGAAACTTTAAGACGAGAAATAAATAACCATGAAAATTGTGATCCTAGATGGTACAGTCCATCGAAACAAATTTGGAAGCCGACTGTCGAAGCTCTTCAAGAGTTTGATATGATCAGAAATAAAGATAAAATTCTTATTTGTCTTCCGGCATCAATTGTGGGTGTGAAGATAGCGGCTGGAAATTACTCAATAGCTCTTCTTCATGCTCTTCATCAATATCAATTCTACATTAGATCAAAAAATATTGATTTTGAAATTGGAGTAGTAACTATTGATACAACTAATGCTCATGATCCATTAGAGTTGATGGCATATTTGAAAAATCTTGAGATTCCATATTTTTATGAAGAACAAGAAGAACAAGCATCTTTGATCGACTCTGTTATAACACCAGATGCTCCCAAAACTCCTGATTTCTCAGAACAATTTTGCAATACATGTGGACGTCTTGGTGTCAATATGAGAAAAAGACTTTATTCTGTTGCCAAAATGTATGGTTACAATGTTCTTGCTCTAAGTCAGCATTTAGATGATTTGGCTGAGGGATTTTTGTCATCTCTATTCTATACAGGACAATTGAAAACCATGAAAGCACATCATTATATAAAAGATCATGATTTGAGAATTATAAGGCCATTTGTTTATGTTCGAGAAAAAGCTTTAAAGCAATTTACTGAAGAAAAAAAATTGCCTGTGTTAAAGGCAGTATGCTTATCATGTGAAGAAATTATTTCTAAAAAGTCTTACAAAAATCGGGAACTAATGGCACAGCAAGAAAAAACGTACCCTCGATTATATTGGTCAATGCGAAATGCTTTAAGACCTTTAATTCTTGCTCGAGGAAACATAACTAATATGACTGGGCATCAACTTCAATCACAACATAAATATAAGTTGAAATTTAAGTCCAATCTAACTCATCCAATCCCATCAGGTCTGGCGACTTATCAAGAATTAGGCGACAGTGATTCTGATAAAGGAGAAGTTTTTTAAAAATATTTGATGAAAGAAGACAGTAATTAATTGTTCTCTAAATTTTTATTTAAAATATTTTGTTAATGATAAATAGTTAATAATTTTGTTGCAACAGCATTGAGAAAGAATATACTAAATGTTTGTGCAACACGAAAAGGCGCTACAGCTTATGACTTTTCTGTTGAAAACAGTAGACTTTTTTTAAGTGGTCTAAAACAATTTCTGCTTTTTATAAAAAAGAATTCCGTTGTTTTTTTCTTTTTATACTTTATAATATTATTTCAATTAATTCAATTATGCCGTCATATTTACTACACGTACTTATACTCTAAATATAATACACAGTTGGCAAATAAATATTTTTGTCTGGAAGATGTAATTTCTATCAAAAAGTACACGTAAAAGAGTTACAAAAAAAATTGATCTTAGTAATCAACAAATGTTTCAGTGTTTAGTTATACTTTTAAATGTTGCGTAATAGAGTAATATATCAATATTTCTTATTACGCTAATTATATATGTACAAAGAAATAACATATTTCTCGTCATATTTACTAATGTTAGAAAGTACAACTTCCATTTCATGTCGAATGCTTAGTGGATTGTGTAAATAAATATATCTATTTAAGATGGACGGTGAAGACAATAAATAAAATGTACAAAAATCAGTTCAACTTTGACAAAGAAATAATATTTAACATTATTCTTAATAATAAAAAAAGACTTATAAATTTTCAAAAATCATTAACCATATTGTCATGTCTCTAAAGAAAAGCTTTTTCTTCTTGTAAATATACATTATAAGTGAGACAATGAAATGACATTTATTCGAAAAATGTCATCCCCGTCCATCTTCACTTGTACTTGGTAAGTTTTATTAAAAATATTCCCATAAGTGCTGAAAACTAAAGACACAATGAATAGCACATTTTTCGAGGGCAATAATCTGTAGAGACTGCCTCGAAAAGTTATCATTTATGGTATCAATAATTTAATAAATCAACAATTTATCAAACAATGATTTTTATCATATGTTCCACCCAATGTTTGTCTGTTTATATTGTTTTTTACTTGACATAAAATTGGTATAGATAAGTTTATAATTTTTTAAACGCGGTATAAAGTTGTGTGATGAAGTAATTGCTAAAAAGATAATCTACTAAGGTTTCCAAATAATTAAACAAAGTTATAGACTTGATAAATTCTCATCGTTTGATAAAATGTTGATTCTGATAAAATTATGTCCATTAGGCGAACTGTTATCAGCACAGAATTATTGTAAATTTATTTATCATTTAATTAAGTTTACTCAACAATGTTGCAATTGAGATATTGAAAAAATGTGATGATGGTAATTTATAAATATCGATTACAACGGTAACTTAAATATCAAAGTGTAGTAGTTTTACAAAAAGTAAGAGAAAATTTGTCAGAATTAAAAATTCTTTTATGAAAAATATTTAAGTTCTCGTTTATCGTACTTAAAAAACTGAATGGACTGGAAAAAGCAATGTTATAGTATGGAAGTTTTTTCATTATTAAAGGTATTTGTTAATTAGTAGATTAGAAAAATTATAAAAATACCGTTGTGCCATGAGTGAGAGATTTGAAAGAGGAATGCAAGTTCTGTTTTAAGCACGTCCAGAGGCACAGCCTATGACAAATTAAAATAAAATAGATATTTATCTATATTTTCTGAGAGTTATGAGAATGTATTGTTGAATAATGTAAAGATGTGTAATTTTATTTATCGCTAATAAAAATGAGTCTTTAAAAGAAAAATGGTTAGTTAATTTTTAAAACGTATCTAGAAATAAAGAATAAAATACATTTCGCACTTTTAATTAATTTTTAATTTATTTGAATTTTTAAAATATTTTTAAACATTGCGTATTAGAATAATCATTAGCATAACAGTAGAATTTTTTGTTTTTTATAAGATAAATATTATAGATATACCATATTTAGTTATTAATATATCATATAGGAAAAATTTTAAGATTATGTAAGTATTTTGAAGTAATATTTGAGTTCCATACAATGGGCATTTTGTCAAAAGAATGTCTAAGTCATAAATAGCGCTTATATTTCAATCACAATGATAAATACTTTCTTACATTTACAATTTGAAAATTAATATAAGTCGATTGGTCATTTTGCATTCAATGAAATCACTCGACCATAAAAATATTTAGATAGTGAAATTATTTGTGATTTAATTATTGATGAAAGAAATCAATATATAAATTATAAATTATATATATTAATGCAGACGTTAATGACCAATGGACTTTTAATAATATCTTTGAAGAGAGTTAAAATCGCATGAATTAACGCGAATGTTTATAAAATTTTAAAGTTTTTGTTTAATTTTTAATAATTCTATTTTTGATAGAATGAAATTCATAAATAAGTGAAAAACTAATTTTAAAAACATGCGAGTTTTTTTTTTATTACAATACTTTATATTTTATACCGACAAATTTTGAGATTATAGCATCTCACAAATTCAAGCAAAAAATTTATGTACGTATATTTTATTGTTTTATAGTTAATATTTGTATTTTGTGAAACTTTCGATGATTGAAACGTTATGCATTTATAGATACAATCAATGTTTAACAGTATTATATTATAAAAAATTACTTAATAAACTTATGAAAGCATTTTTTTGATTTCTAGACGAAAAAAAATCATTTCACTTAATTACTGGACCTTACATTGATTGTAAAACGCGGATTAGTTTGAGATAAAGTTATCAGCTTCCAACATTCTTCATCAATTTACAAGAAGATTATAATAAGTATGATTAAAAAATACGATTAATCGAGTAATTTTCTTGCAAATCTTCTTAAATACTTCAGTCTTGTTTTAGAATCAAGTAATCATTCTAATTCATTTGCTCATAACTTCATGCCTCAAACAAGATAAAACAGTGATTTGAAAATTTAAAAGCAAAAACGACAATGTACATTATACATATACACATATAGTTACATTTCTAAGACACAAAACGTGCCAGTATGAGTAATTTTATAATGACAAGATCGTGCGGTGATAATGTTCTTTAATTTCCTTATAAATAACTCATAAAATGGATATTTAATATATTTTTAGCTCTGTTTTTATCTGCTCATTGCATTATAGTCTTTTATTAATTTATTTGATAGGAAAAGTAAAGAGATATTGAAGAAGTAAACATTTCCCATTAATTTTGAGAAGGAGGAGATTGTGGCGGTTCTTCGTCCTCTTCATCTTCGTCATCATCAGTTCCAGGATTTACGAGAGACCGAGCAAATTCTATAATAAAAAAATTTGAAAGTAGAAATTCTGAGCATTTATAACTTACGCTAGAATGAATATAGAAAGTATAAATAAAAAATGACATTTTTAATATGATTGCAGATGAAATTGGGGCAATTATGAATAGTTGAATACTAAGTATAATTAAAATAATATAAAAGCAGAGAAAAGACGATTCAAAAAAGATGTTAATATTAACAAATAATCTTAGCATGATATCAGATTGAACAAAATAAAATATTAAGTTTTAATGTTTAAAAATGTATAGCAATAGCCCAATTTCTTGATAATATATTAATTTTAAATTAAGTTCATTACTTACATCTTACTGAAATTCGTAATTTGCTTCAAACTGTTAGTTTGAAAATTTCAATTTACATAAATCTTTTGCTTAAAATAAAACAATGTTCACTTTTTCACTAGTTTCAATATTTAATGAAGAGTTACTTTTCCATAAATCTTTTATAAAATTCATTCTCAGTTTCATAAATAGTTTAATGATTTGTATTAACAATCAGTGATTGAAACTCAATAGAAAAAAGTATTAATTCGAATGAAATATTTGGAAAACTTTATTATAGCGAAAACGATATTCTTTATAGGTTTTTGTTTTTTTGAAAAGCAAGAACTTTGACTTATTAAGAACATTATATAATCAGACAAAGAACTTTATATTGGCTACTAGAAGTGCTGCTTCTTTTTAATTACCTATCTATATATAATATACTTTATGAAGTCAATTACAAGATGAGCAACATAATTCAATCGATGCATTAATCAAGTAACTGAGCGAAAAAAGTTGATTGAAACTTTTATATAGACATGAGAAAAATTAGCGCGTGGGATGTAAAAGTAAGAAAAAAAAAGCTTCAAATTTTATCCAGGATTACCGAAAAAAAAGAATAGGATTTATTCCAGTCACTAAAACTTTTAAGTAACAACAAAATCAAGATAAAAATAAATTAAACTAACAAATGTTTTAGTGAGTAATGGGAGAGAGGTCAGATAAAAAAATGATTATAAAAACCCACAAAATGTATAAATATCTTTTTTTTACAACTTACCGCAAAAATCGATTCGCCCATCTCCATCCTCATCCACTTCTTTTATCATGTCCTCAACTGGAATAAAAATAATTATGTTAAATATTTGCGTAATGCGATTGAATGAGATTCTACAAAAAAGTAATTGTTTCATTAATCTAATTTTCATTTTAAAAAGTGAAGAGAAAAAAAATTAAACGAAAGGGCATGTTTTTTAAAGAATATTCCAATATAGATGAGATTTTCTGACAGTAATGTTACGATCATTAGATTAAATGATCACGAACGAGACGAAACTGTGAATAATTGGATAATACATGTAAAGACCACATTATACACTAAAAGTTATTATAATGACACTAGGAAACTGTGAATTCAAGCCATTAGCACGTTGCTTTACGATTTTTGATTGTGAGTAATCATAATTCAAAAATTATCTCATTTCCATTATTTCTTTCTAGAATTCATAATGTTCACTAGCTTTTAGTCCCGAATTTGTGTGTTTAATGTATTTCATGAGGTTGAATTATCAGAATTATATCCTCTATCTCCTTCCTATTGTCAATAATCGTGCTGAATATTTTTCACAGCTTCTAAGAGCTATAATTCAAACTGATAGGGTAATAAATAAACTATTCTAAACGATTCCCATTATATATCAGGCTTTTATGAAGTAGGTTCATTGCACGTAATAGTAGTAAATATAAAGTCTATTAGAAAGCCGAGTGAATGTGCCTGGTAATAAATACTTATATTAGAGTATTAATGATGTATGCTATTGTTTTATCTCATATTCTAAACGATTAGAAGCTCAAGCACTAAGCTTATTCTATCTGATATGAATATCTCATAATCAAAGTCATATATCGTTTAAATATACCATTAATAGCAAGGCTATTCTCTAAACCACAATTTGCGAACGTATGGTTCATTCACAATGTCCGGTCAATGACTAAAAATCGATGCTTTTCCTATCAACTTCATGACAATGCAAAAAGATTTTATCTACAAGGTAGTCTTCGACAACGGTATGGTAACCCATCGATAAATTTGACCACAGGTATGAAAGCTTATTCCTCTAATTACTGCAATCTATCAAAGTAAAGAGAAAGATGGAAATAATATATTTTGAGGAACTAATTGAATTATTGGAATTATTTTAAATAAGAATCTATTAACAACTGAACTGAAATCATATAAATATAATTTTTTAACATTTAAAAATTAGCTCTTTATTATTACGAAAATGGAATGTAAAATAGAAGTATAAGAACTGTTATTTGTCATGTACATTATGATTTTTACAAAAAATATTTATTTTACTGTGATTCGTACTCGAACTCAGACCGCTCTAATTATTTTTACAAATTAAATTAAATGAAAACGAATGCTAGTCATTTTTAAACTTGAAGTTTTAAATAAAAAACTGATGATTTATATATGTTGAATTGACTCTTGAAATGGATGAGAATATAAAAATGAAGATTAATTATAGCTCTTATCATTACTCCACCCATTGAACGTTATATTTCCTTTGACCTCAGATATATTATTTTATAAAGATCAAAGTAGATATTTTAAAAAAATTAATCATTATTTTAAAAAAGTTAATCGCGTGATGACTTGTGTGTTATTGAGCTAAATAAAAAGAATCATTTTGCAGCAATATTTATGAAATAGAAAAAATGATAGAACTTATTATGATTTTGTATGAAAAGTGATGAAGTGTTTGAAATTTGATAGATTAGATTTGATTCCGATTTTAAAACATGAGTTTTTAAATATTAAATTTTTTAACATTGTTTTTGTTAAACTGCTTTTTGTTAAAAAGAAAAAATCACTTCCCAAATATGATCAATATTTTTTTAATATTTCAAATACTATTTCGGAGAAAATTACTTTTTTATTAAAAGAAAACATTAGGAATAATAAGTTTAAGTATTACAAATATTTTTACAGATCATCATAGGTGATTTTTAACGTTACTGAGTTAGATCCTAGAATTAAACAAGCATCATCCTTATGATTTCACTCAAAAGTTATTAACACTTCAATTAATATACATTTATTGATTGGCTAATCAAATGAAGCTGGCAAAACTGCTATATGATTGCATTACTCGTCTCAGGTGTAGTACTAGTGGTATCTTTTAATTCATTAGTAAGCCAACTATAACACATGTGTGCTACGTTATTATCATGGTCAATTATTTGAACGTGTGGTTGAAAATATTAACCATGCATTTATGGACAAATTACAAAATACTAATACCAGACAACCTATCAATAAGTAAATTTTAAAGAAAACTCAAAAAAGATTTAAGATATTGATGACAATTTTTTATTTCTCACAATCCCTTGTCATTGAAGCTATTCCTGTAATTTGATGCACATTAGTACGAATACAAAAATACGAGGTGGCTTTGATATTTCTGCTGATCAAAGGAACATGCTAATGGCAGAGCTTCAGTACGGATGCTTGTTATCTAAAATATAAACCACGAGTTATCAAATTCATTCGCTTCGATAATGTTGATACGTAAAGGTCTTAATTCTATTATTTTTTCATTGATTACTTCAACTTATGATAATAACAACATACTAATAAATAAATACTCCTTTCGGATTTTTTTATTATTTATATTACGCGAATTTAAGTTTTTACTTAAAAATTTTGGTCCCAAATAAAAGCTTATTTTATGCTACAGTGCGAATTTTTGGGATTGAACTTGCTCGCCAACGCCTGAACTCGTAGTCTTTTTTCTGATTTTCGTTCAAAATTATTTAAATATTTAAAACGTTGAAGACTAGTAATGTAAATTAATATTATGCCAAAACCATTAAAGTTTAATTATTACATGGTACTTACTTTCTTCTTCTGATAAATCCTCCCCTAGACATTGGAGAACAGCCCGAAGGTCAGAAGCTGTAATGTATCCTCGATTGTGCTTATCAAAGACCTGAAATATAATTTTCAAGGATTATTATGATTTCAATCAAATTCGATTTTATAGTTCATTGTAAATATAACTTTAAAAAAAAATCAAAATAATGGACACTCAATAGGAAAGCAATATTTAAACCCCTATAACTTGTTGCTTTTATAAATGTTTATCGAACCTTAAAGGAAAATTTCACTTTGAAGATTTTCTCATTAATAAATTCATCATTTCTCTATATCGAGAAAATACACTGCTAAATTGTAGTAAAAATGTTTAATATTGATATCACGTCTGAAAGAAATATTACAAGCGAGATAGAAGAATACAAAATGACATAAGACAGAAGAAAAATTTACTTGGAGATTTAAGATACCTTTTTGATGCCTTTATTTTACGAATGTTATGCATTTTAAGTTTTATACTCTTTTCATCAAACTTTAATCTGATCATTTTTCATAACTTTACAAAGGCTTCTGTGGGCACATTTATAAAATACCCATCAAGTTGAGTATCTTTTACATTGCATAAATTCGTTATTTATATTTCAAAACATCATCAGACATTTTTTTTGTATTTAATAGAATGAAGGTTAATTCTTAGATATATTTATTCTTAAATTTGAATGCAAAATAGAAAAGAAGTTATTTCCTCGGATAATTTTACAAATTTTTCAAAAATGAAACCAGGGGAAAAATAAAACAAAGTTTGAATTAATCTATTTTCATAGCAAAATTTTCAAAAGAATTCTTATTTTATTATGATCAGTATCATTTAAATTCAATTCAGACATTCCTTTTTAGACTTTTCCAAAGTCAATATGATCTAATATAATCTTTAAAAAAAATTGATATGACTATATTGTTTGTTCCTTTTTATGAAATGAATGAATGTAAGTCTTTTTTCAGTATATCATTATAAACGTAAATAATAATTAAAAGCAAATGGATAAAATGTCATCATCGAACGATTTATCTCATGATTACCAACGGATCGATTATTGTTTGTTAATTACACATCGTTCACTTCTCAACCACGTGATAGCTTTACTAATAAAATGCATATCTCTACGTTGGCCCTACGAAGCTCACATATGTGGTTTCGCGAGATTGAATCGTTATTGACTTGATAGAAATGTACGGCAAATTAACGGTATGTCATTCAATTTATACATCATGTCGGATATAAATCATAAAAGACAAATGATGCAAAATTATCTAATGGATGAACTTTTAAAAATTAGTAATCATTTATAAAAACATGTTTTTATTTTCTAGAATTATTTCCTGATTAATTTTAAGTTGATATATTAAAAGAGCTATATATGCAACAATTTGAAATATTTTTTTTTTATTTTCATAATTTCAAATTGTGTTATTTTCATCTTTTTATGTTCCAATGCAAAACAGTAAAATATTTAATAACCCAGAGAAAAGTTTTCGCTTTTATTCATTATATACAAACAATAAAAATGTGACTTTGTAAATAATCATTCATATTGGTATGCGGACAAATGGTCAGTCAGTTTATTAATATCTTGAAAAACGAATTTAATGGAACATTTCCATTTTATGTTGCACTTTATAAAGGTAGTCCGACATTATACTCCATGTAAATTTGTGTTGGGAAAATGACAAAAACAGACGAATCCTATTTGGCCGTTTAATCAAGAAAGGATATGAAAAATAAATAAAAGAGAAAAAAAGTACCAGTTATATTTTCAACTTCTACAATTATCTGTATCTTCAGAAAATTGTATTCTGATGTACGTTTGAATTATGATCAGTGGTGATGAAAAAGGAATGTTTTTGAAATAGAGCTCTCATGGAATTTTTCCCTGTCGATCAATTTTTATTGGTTTTTTCTTCTTTTTTTTATTAACATCTCTCATTGACGACTACTTCAGTTTGAGTCCTACATTTCAAATTATTCTGTCCTATTTCCTGTCCAAACAAACACATTTGGTTTCATAAACATGAACTAAAGTTAGCTCTCGATTGATATATGCACTTCGTACTGACAAATTATACTGCAATAGGCAAGAATGTTATTCAACGATCAGTTCCATTAAAATTCTCAATAAACCTCATACAATGTGAGATACAATGCTTGATAACAACGAGCACTCTTTTCAAACTTATTCAGTAGTGATTTTGTTTTTAATTAACTAAATAAATATTACGATTGACGTTAAATAGATAATTGCAATGCTTTATCTTGATCAAGTGCCAGTCTATTCTTTTATCAACACGCACATGGATGTTTTGTTTTATACATTCTCAAGATTACCCTCCATTCAATTTTTTGTCCAGACTTATATTAAGGTCACTAAACCCCATAACCAGAAATATGTATGTTAGATCAAACACTTTGAGAAACCTTTCATCAACTTATCAACAAATTACTGCTCTCTAGAGACTTGATAATATAAGTTAATACGCTTTATATGTGAACGTATACCTTTGCCAGCTAGCAAAAAATAAATGATATTTTTTTCTATGATATTGAATGCTGACACGTACTTAGATAAGACTAAGAGAAAATATGAGATCAAAAAATTGAAGAAACAATACCCTCATTTTATGCTCTAAATCTTTCTAAGCTCTCGAAACACAGAATATTGTCCAAAGTTAGTTAAATGGCGAGTGTAAAGAGCTAGACCATTAGCCGATTGTTATCCCTCAACGACTTCCTATCTCTTCCAGTCGCGATTACTGAGTAACAGAAGATTATTGTTTTAAGTACAAAGTTCTCCTAATAGTTGATATTGTCCAACCAAGAAGATATCAAGTCCAATTAAGAACTGCTTTAATAAATCCCAATTTTTATTTTGTTTCATTTTATTTTACTATTTGAGTGTATGAGTTTTAAATAATTTGATGATTATATTTTAGCTCCCAGTGTAATAATCGTAAGATTTACTATAAGAAAAATTGTTCATCGAAATAATGACCATTGATGGCCAATCGATTTTATGTGCCATCAACTACTGAGTTACTCTATTAGTCTTGTTTATATTTAATTCATTATCCTCACTATATCATTTCACAACATGGCACAGTAGGAATTTCATTATATTTAATATAACTTAGTATTAAAATAAAATGCAGTAAAATATGACCTTTAAAATTGAACTTTGATTTAAAATAAATGATTGAGATAACTATAGAATTATTAAAGTGCAGATATGAGCATGGGAATACTCTACATTGAGTTTAATTATGTATTATCATATTGAGTATAATTATGGTCTGAGAATGCTTTAGGAAATGATGTGATCTTCGTTATTATATAATATCTTATACCTACATTAAAAAAAGAATAAAAAAATCTATAAGAATAAAGCATTGGTATGAAACTAATTAATCAATTAATTAAAATAATTTCTATAGGAAAGCGAATTTACCACAACGCCATGTTTTACTCAACTTTTTACTCGTTACTAAAAAGAAGTGTCCGCTTACTTTTTAAAGTTATTGAAAGATTTTTTAAATATGTATTAGGTAACTTTGATTACCTACACCTGTTGCTTCTGTTATATAATATTTATTACAATATTTATGTAATTTAATTGAATATTCTCTAAAAAAATGTATACACTTCAAATTTTCTATTGTCATTGCTTTCTATCATTGAAATTTCAGTAACAATCTGTTGAACAAAATTGCAATGTTCAAGTCACGATGATTAAAATATCGATTCCTACAATTATTATTGTATTTTCCTAGAAAAAAATTTTCATTATCGCTTAACTTGAACAAAACTCTTGACCTACTAAAATATTCATGTTATTTGAGACATCAAAGTCTTTTTTTACTTTTGTATTTTCAATTTATTGTAACAATAATTTACTTATCGATAACTGAAAAGCGTCCAACATTTAAATAATATTCCAATTGTTATTACAATTTCTTGAGTCTCTTAACTACATTTTCAACTAGGTCACGTCACTGAAATGTATTTGAAGTTATTGAAATATTCAAAATTGTTCTTATGTATCAAATTTACCAGATATTTCAAAAAATTCAGGTGAAAAACCTCAACAAAAATAATTTTCAATTCTTTTCATTCTAGAAATTCTGATGAAAAAGACGTACAAACAAATATTTTGCAAAATTGAAAAAACTTTACAACTGTTGGAAAAAATACATACACACATTTCTATGGAAATCATATATATATAAAATTGGTTACTTTGATAGAAAGATAAAATAAAGAAATAGATCAAAAGTTCACAAGTTAAAGAATGATTGAGGTGACTTACTACTGCTTTGAAAGATGCATTACAAGCATCTTGTGGTCTTACACTTTTGCCGACCTAATTTCTGATTCTGAACCTGTATACATAGGTGCTATCGCCAAGTTCGTAGAATGAAACTTCTTTATGTACATATATAGAATATAGAATAGTTTGTAGATAGAATTTTCCTATTCAAACAAATAGAAAAACCATAAGATCACAAGGAATATTGGTAATTCAATTGAGTTCAATTTATTTATTGAGTAATACAAATAAGAATCAGCAAACCAACTGAACTGTGAAATGTTACATATGCACCAGTAGCTAAGATAATAGAATTTAAAGAAGAAAATAGGAAGCAAAAATAAGAAGAAAATATGTTAAGATCGCTAGTTCCTTCGTTATCTCAATACATGGCACGAGCTAAGATAGGATGTCGTCAAACTCCTAAATTTCCAACAAATTGACAAGGAAATTGATTCGACGTGTAATCCACAAGGCTTTAACCATAACATCCAATTTACTTATCTCATAGTTGAAGCTGTATAAAAATTCCAAGTAAATGATGAAACTCAATTTCTCAACACCTTATGCACTTTCCTGATTATCTGCTATAATTAATTAGTACATATTTAATATCACCTCTATTATTTTGTATTAATTTTCTTATCAAGTAAATTATTGAGAATGCCATTTTTAAAATAAGTGTTTGTTTATATACCTATTCAATTTAACTCATGAAGTGTTGCTAATACAAGAACATGTTCATGAGAAGTCAAGATGGGTATATAGCCTCTCAGGTATGTTCAGAAATTTTTGTCATAAATCAGATGGTGATAAAAAAAGTAAAATAAAAGGAAACGAGCTAGTTAGTAGTATGTATACTCTAATTGGTGGTGGTTGTAATGTCTCTGGAGAAATGAGGCTGCAGTACATTCTAGAGATGTTACAACAGAGACAAATAATACCGCAAAAACATGAGAATAATAATGTTACAATTTTCTATACGTTTAGATGAAACTATGTTAGATTGAGTTAACATAGTTCTCGGAATAAAGTCACTGATATTGAATTCCATGGAGTAAATGAAGTGAAAAAATGAATTTTTTATATAATGGAAAACTCATAAAAATAGATGACAGGATGGAGCAAGAGAAGGTGTATGAAAAAGGTTGGACTCAATAGAAAACAATAAAATAACCAAGACATTTCAAAAATAATCAGTGGGGGAATGATAAAAGTAGCTACAAGGGAGAAAAATAAATTGAAGAAGCGCTTAATAGGGGAAATGCTTTACGAGTCATGTGTTTTTCAGTATGAAATGATACTGCTATTTTCCCATAAAGAATTATTTATATTTGAATTAATTTTTGTTTGGAAAAAATATGAAACTTGATTTATTTATTGTTAGTATTGTAAATTGAATGGTCGAATATCTTTGAAAAAGTAGTATTTATTCTATGAAACAATGAAATATGCATTTTATTTAATACGGTTAACAATCATGTTCAATAAAATACCAATATACATACTCAGTTTATTAATTCATTGCTTATTAAAATTTGCGAGAAACAATGAAAATCAGCTGTATGAGTTTTATGTATTTGTCTGAGTTTGATGTGACTGTTGTCGGAAATAGATGTTGTTGATAATGAATAGCTAATTATTTATTTATTATTGTGCAATACATTATGCTGGTAATTATTCAGTAATATTATTGATAATTCTAAGAGAACAAAAACATTGTCAGCTATAAAGCATAACTCGATCAACATTTAAATTGAACGAAAAATTGATATTTTGGTGTATAACAGTACTGCTTTATTTTAAATTTTCGAGATAGAAAATTTCTGCCAACTTGATATTACATGTCCCGAATTTTTAGAACAATATCCTGTAATTTTTATCAATGCCTACTATTGACTACAGTAGAAATATTGATAAAATTCCAAGAAAATAAGATATTTTTCAAAGTTCTTAGTAATGATAATTATGACATAGTATGATGAACTGGAAATCACAATACCAAAAAAGTAATTTTTTTATCAATTGGAGAACATCAAAAACTTTTTATATTAATATAGTATCTGCCAAGGTTTCATCTTTTACCCCATTGATATGAACTACAAAGGATTATTAGGCCTTAACTTTAATCTAAAGTCAAATGTCTACAAAGCCTTTTTTCGAATTTGTTCCTCTATGTTGAAGCCGAGTATGTTTTGTAATGAAAGTTAGAACAAACAGACCAATCCATTTCAGAAAGAAGAATAATTAACAATCGCAATTTGAATGAAACAAAGTAATTCGTTATTTTATTTCAGCATGGTATTGATAAAATTTCAAAGGAATATTTAATATATTTCTCAGAATTGATATAAAAATTACAATCTTTATAATACATATGTATTTATATTTCAAAATATTTAAGATTTTTTCAGACAGTTCTTTGCATGTATCAGATAAAAAATTTTTTAACATATTTAATCAGAAAAATATCTTCTTTTCTCAACCCATGAACAAACTCTATTATATAATAAATGTTATGAAAAAAAAAACTATAAAAAATCTAGTTCAACTGAAAACTCTAGTATAAGTATCTTATAATTTAATAATTTATACTTGTCAGTTTATAAATTGTAAAAATCTTTTCATAATCATAAATTTAAAAAACTGAGAAATTTTCATCGTATTAATTTAAATTCTCAATAAATTCCATTTTACAATAAATTTGAATATAAAACAGTGAATTTGTAAACAATAAATAGAGTCGAATACATTTTGCTCATTTATAATGCAAAAATCTTTTCAACAAAGTTCATTCAAACTCCCACAATGTTTTTCCAAGATAAAAGTGAATAGAAAATTTTTCATAAGTAAAAACAGTAAAAAATGGTTAAATTAATCTACTTCTACATGATAAACTTGACTTCTCATTTTCTCTCCAGATTTAAAGCTTTTTATTACGTTGACACCCACACTGGATGCCATCACTTGCAGTCATTCGTTGCTGTATTTTTATACTCCATTTCTCATCAATTATATCGGATTTTATTAAAAATACATTAACCACGTTAATATCGTTATCTAAAAGAGTTTCTTGTCTTCTTAATAGTCTTTTTTTCAATGTTGGATTCGATAGTTTACGATGTCGTGATAAAAATAAAATTTAAAATATGTTCAGTGAAAAGATAAATCAGCTTACCCGAAATGCATCTCGAAGTTCTTGCTCTTCTTGCTCTTCTTGAGTAAGATCTGTCTGTTGTGCAGCATTTGCACTCCCAATGTTACTGACAATCTTTACAAACTCAACAAGACTGACATTTCCATCACCTGAGAAAAAAAAGTTCTAATTAGTTTTTACACTCTTTTATTATTCTTGTAGATGAATTATAATCTTTCATACTGTTTTAAAAATGTTTACAGAGTTTAATTAAATTTCCATAGTAATTTCTAATGTTTTTAGAGACAAGTTAAAAACAACTTAGAGTGAAAAAATTACTTCCTCAAATACCTACATTCTCAAAGTCGTGGTCTAGAGTTTTTTTTTAATTTTTTGACAAATTTTTATCAAGTTTTATCAAGAGCCCTTATGAATATTCTACATTTTCAACGCTCCTTGAACATTCATATAAAAAAAATCAAGTCGTATATAATTTTTTTTTCATTTACAAATCTAATTTTTTCAACAAACAACTTTTTTTTAATATCTCTTAAAGCTTTTTTGATAACTTGCATATGAATATTAAATTGTAACCAGCATGACTAATTCAAGAACCTACATGAAAGTTTTATGGGCGATTATTTCCAACATGTAGAAATAATTAACCGTTAAATGCATTTCTCTTGTCAACCCATAATTATAAATTAATTATAATCCATAATAGTATTGTCTACAAACAGTGACATGATAGACAAAATAATTTACACAAATAAACTTAACTTCTGTAGTCCGAGTGAACATTCGCTCATTCATTCATTGAAATGATAGGAAAACCGTGAATTCACAAATTATTTTGCCGCTATTCACAGCTTTATTAAATACCTCTGTACTTCTATTATCGTACTGACGAAAAGGATTTTTTGTTATATTATTAAAAATGTATTGTAACCATGGTTTGTTAAAAATTTAAATAATTATTCAACTACAATATGTTACATTTAGTAGAAAATTGAATTTGTTTTTTTTTTAATACAACTTTCTGAATTACGGTAATATATATACCGTATACATATTAAAACCACATTGTTAAATGGTACATTTCCATTGTAGAGACTGACTATAAGAATGGAATTATTATCAGAACCATATCAAATGTTTTTCAAGTTGTTAATTAGCGATAAATATTTATCATATGATATTATGCAAAACATAAATTATGAGAGGAATATGTATATAACTCTGGGTAGTTTCGTATATGGAAATGAGAACAAGAACTAAAGAGTAAAGGAGTAAGATGAAAAAGTGTCGAGCTCAACGATGCGAGACAATATTATCACGTTCTAAATCCTATTTATTCCCTCACTCAACTGAAGTTAAATCTGCTCCAACTTAGGGTTTATTGTTAGATCTAAAGGCCAACAAAGAAGTACGACACTATTTACTTTTTTTCTTGCCAACATATGAAGTAAGAAAGAAAAGAATAAAATATAAGGGTGTTCATTCTAAACGAATAGTCGTATATTACTTTCTTACCCGACAAATTCACATTTTCTTCATTTCCTCACAAAAAAATTACAGCAACACTCTGTTACATCTAAGATTAGATAAGATTTTTGTAAATAAGAAGCTGGCAATTTTACAGCGTGATGCTATCAGACAATATACCATGATAAAGAAGAATAAACAATAACTGTAACTGATACCGTATATCTTTACTATTCATATAAAGTTAGTAAAAAGCTGATCAATAGTCTCACTTCATCATAATCAGCACTTCAATCTCTCTACAATTTGATCAAAGATCAATAGTGGGTAACTTAGAAAAAGCTTGTGAAAAGTGAAAAATTTGAAATAAAAAGTAATTAGTTGAAAATCCATCTTACACAGTAAAACAAAAATTCTTGGATCAAAAATAGTTTCATTCTTGCTTGTATATCAGCGCGATTATAATTAGGAATGAAATTATTCTCGATATGAAAATATTGTTTTCCAATATAGATTTTAAATTCACTTTAAATAGTTAAAACAATTATATCAACTTTCAAGCGTAATAACTTAATAAAGTTGAAGCTTATTTTGATTAAACTTTTGTAAAACTGGATAATTTAACAGTTGTTCTTCTTTAATCACTCCAATTCAACAGTTCATCTAAGTTACGTTAACCAATCACGCTCAACCATCAAGCTTGTATAGACTTTCTTTCCTTTTAAATTCTAAGTTCTATTGTTAAAGAAAAAACTATTATTTGAGTGTAATTTATAAATTGATAAAAATGCAGATTGTACCCACGAGAGAATGTTTGATAAAAACAGACACTTTCCTGCAGTTTGTAGCTCTAGTGTTCTAGCAACATCTAGGATAAATATAAAAACAGCAAAAAGATTGAAAAAGTATAGATAAAAACGAGTAAAGTAATGTAAAAAACCAAAAAAATACATATCATAGTGATGCGACTTATTTTTTTTAAGTAAACATATTTTAGACAAAAGATATATGAATGTGCTCATCTCATGCTATTTCCTTTATAATATATTATGATAGTATTGAAATTTATATACTTTTTTCTGCCTTACGCCTTTTTTACACATAACCATATGCTTATGTACCGGCATATTCACTATTTTTGCTAATTTTTTTTTAAACGATTAGTTTTCATTTTTTTCTTTAAAGTTAAGAAAAATGTCTTCATTTAAAAAAATAACTTGTTGGCCAAAATAAAACACAATTAAATGTAAGAGAATAAGAACATTTGTATAACATGTGTAACTTTATGCTTAAATTTTTTGTGAGATGCCTGAAAATTCTTATGGAAATCCTTAGTAAATTCCAATGTGTAGTTCAGCCACCGGAATTTGACTTATTTGAGAAGAATGTGATAACAATGAAATGTACAAAAACACTAACAATATTGTTGTAGTGGATAAATTTGAATTTTATAATAATAACTGATTCCAGCAAGTATTAAAATGCATCAATTGTAGAAGATGTTTTTGCCATGAATGTGTATATAAAAGATGAAGTGAAAACTTATTCATTAAGTAATAAAAATCCAATGATGTATGTACAAGTTTCATTGTCATATTCATGAGTATAAAAGAAATTTATGAATATCTTGAATATCATCACCATTTCATGGCTTTTAGGTAGGATTAGTAGAATGGAGATATGTTTGAAAATTATGTGTACAAATATTTGCAGTGTTAGTTTATGGATAAAGTGAATACTAATAAAACCGTTTACGTGGAATTGTTCTGAAAAAATTAATATTTTAATAACTTTTTTACAAATTAAAAGATACCAACTTTTTTCTAACTTGATAATAAATAGAAAGATTGAATTAGAATTTCTATTCTATTAAGAAAAAGAACATCTAGACAAGTATGCATTAACTTTTTTAATGATTTTGAAGTTTTGGAGAAGAACAATAAAGTTAAGTAGCCAAATATGAGACAGTTTAGCTTCAATGGAATGGTCTAATGTGTACTTTTCATTTTTTTTATTTTTGTTCTTTTTACAAACTTTTAATTAAAAACATAAAAAAGATACTTATCAGAATACTACCGTTTGAAAAATGAGTAATACATATTTTGTGAAGACATTATCAATTTACGAATGTTTTTTATGAAGATGAATATCTGAAGTACAATAAACAATCTTATTAAAGGTAGAATTAATTTTTTGAATCAATCATAATAATTATAAATATAGTTAACTGTCTTCAAGCCATAATAATATCTTGGACGCCGCTTCTTGTAATATGGATTAACAGTTCTATAACCTAAAAATGAACATTGAGTATATTATTGAGAGACCACATTAAAACTACAAGAAAAAATGCTTCATGCTCTACGTAATTTTTACTATTTAACAAATAGCATAAAAGCAAAACTTGGAAATGAAAAAGAATCAATTTATCACTTTTTTTCTCCAGTTGATATTGTTGCTCTTTCAAGTCTTTGAGTTCCTGTTGCAATAAATTGATTTGCAAGTGAAGACTAGTGATTTGTTGTTGCATGTTATTTTGCACAGGTGCGGTTGGTGTCACATAATAATAAACTAAAAAAAAAAAATTTGTTAATTTGTTAATAAAAACATTTGACTCGATTCCAATAAATATTATGTGATTAACAATTTTTAAAAAAAAAAATCTTAATTTGATTTAAATTATTTTTTCACTACTGAGTAAAAGAGTATTTAGCTATTTCACAAACTAAGAAAAAGAAACAGAAATAATTCTTTCTTTGAATACTTACAACCAGATAGCGGGACCCAAGCCATTTTTTTCGTTGTTCATCTGCAAAAAAATTGCTTCATCTTAATTATTATTATTAACTAACAAATAGTATATTATTGCCTTATAGTAATAAATACCTATATTTGACAGGAGTATGTATTTGAATAAAACAATTAAATGTTTTTATAAAAAATCCTTATATCATGATAACGAAAAACCGCGTTTAGAATACTATTAAGATTAACCTGCCTTTTTACTGAAAATTTTATATGCAACTGTTAATAGCTTTGCACAAAATTGTAAGGCTAATCAGTATATTAGTGCAATTTTACAGAAATAATTTAACATTAAGTTTGATCATTTTAATTACATTAAAAATTACACTTACCTAAATTGCGTCTTACAATTTAACTGAATCCACCAGGCGAATTATTAATTTTTTACATTGTTCTATATGGATATCAAATCCGTCAATGACGTCACATCCGAATGTGACTACTTACCGATCTAAAAAATTTATCGATTATTTACCATCCGTAGCATAGTTCTTCACCCTATACGAATATACAAAAGTTAACGAAATTTTACTTAATACATACAATGCCTATGCAGCATAAAAAGTGAAAAATTTGAAGAAATTAAAATTCTAATATTTTGTTCGATTACAAAATTGTTATAGTGTCAAAGTGAATCACTGTATCAGTACCACTGACTTACTGATACTAATTCTCCGACGATGAACTAATCACCGAAAAAATATAAGTAACATGATTGTAAATCACTTGCAGAAAAAAATTTTTACATTACTGAATTCAAAATTATTTAAAAAATTTTTTTTAAAATTTCTAGTTAGTTAATGTTTATTGTAAGCTCTTCAAGAGCTCACTCATAAATACAATTTAGCCCTGTGAAATGCCACACAATTAATCAAAAAATTTTTCAGTTTAAAATTATATATAATTTATAATTTGAATAAAACTATCAAAAGTATATGTTATTTTATTAGTTTTTAATATTTTACAGAGCTTCAAACCATTCCATTCCAGTGGGCTAACCTCCTTTTGAAGAATTTTGCATGAGTAATTTATTTCCAGTGTTCAATTAATATTGACATAATAACTCCGTGATAATCAGTAGTTGATAATTAAGTTAATCAAGTAATAGTAAACATGAAGAGTGATTTGGGAAATGCTTGTTTGATCGTTATCGTCCTGAAATGTCTCTCAAAACAGATCATCAATTAAATTATTGAAAGTTAATTAAATCTCTTTATAATTTATTTTCTAGTCCAGAGGAACAAAAAAATTCTCATAATTACTAACAAATAAATGAAAAATAGCTTGTTGATTTGAAACAATATAACTTTTTGAATCCTAAGTTTTTCAATTCGCTGAAAATTGGTAGTATTCATCTTCCAAAAAAAATCGAAGAATCTATGAATGCTATTTTTCATAAAATTAACAAAAAATATATTCACAATGATTTTGATTGAATCTCGAACATATTTCAAGAAGTCTTGCTGTATTTCTACAACAATTTAACTCATGAATAAAACATATTCTTTAACCTAATGAATATACAAAATTTTCGAAACTATGATTTTATTGAAGCAAGAAAATGTAAAAAATGTTAGCTGGGAGAATTGATATCATCATTATGGAAATAAAATACAAGTCTTGAAGTGAAGTTTGATAATTAAATTTGGCATTCATGATAGTCTCTCTACTGGAATAAACTCTATTGTATCACGTAATCACAATTTTTATGAGTGTTGAGAGAAGAACTTGAAGAAGCTTGATTAGAAACATCGAACTATACGTGAATTTATCATTATCAGTTAGAGTGATGTAATTTTTTTGGAATTTTGTTTAAGTCAGTTTAAAAATTCTACAACTTACTTAAGGAACATAAATTAAAGTTAGGAATATAAATTAAGGCCTGCTTCAAGTACAATCTTTCTACTTCTATCACTATTCAATTTCTTTTTAATTAAAAGATTTTAATACTAAATAAAGTAAAAAGTCCTCGAAGAAGCCTTTATTTCTAATTTGTTTTAAACATTGTTCAATAGCTTGAACAATCTAACTTATAATTAATTATCAACTGTTCTGGAATAAATGACATAAAATTGATTTTTTTATAAATTATTAATGACTTTATTAATTAACTATATAATATGCAAACTCTCCTGAACATTAATATTCTTGTCAAATTAAAGAATTAATGACTGTCGTAGCCATTGAAAATAATGACCGGATAAATGTGTAGGAGGTAATTTTCCAATAGAACGATACTTCAGGGGTTGGAGACATCCTGAATAAGAATGGTGAGAGGGTAGTCTTGTCGATTATATAGAGAAGTGATAGAGAAAGGACTATCGAAGGAAATAGGTATACCCTTCCTATTAACCATCTATCTACATCGACATGAACATTTGTGAGAATCATCTGAGCATCTGAGAAAGATGCATCGAGGTAGAGAATTGTGGCCAAATGCTCCGTCTGTACTTGACTGCAGTGGACTTTATAAAGCAATTACCTTTCATTATTCTAATAGTGAATTGTGAAAAATTTACATTTATTGAAAATGAGAATTTTGCCTTTTTCTGATAGTAGTACCTCCTCCTTCACCCTTTCTATTATCAACAGCTATTCTCAGGAGGTTTTTCTCATCTATTAGTTCTTCTACTAAAATACGTTCAATCTTTATTAACTCTTGATTCTTTATTCTCTATTACCGGGAAGATCCCATCAAATTTTTATTACAATAAATTATAGGATTGCTTACTCAGGAACACGTGACCACGTTAGATATTGTATAAAATTAGTTAGATTAGATTTCATAATAATTATTAGACTTTTTTCTTCAGATTTGTATTCATTGAAGGAATTTCTCAAGAGTGAAGTGCTTTATCGATTTTAATTGTGCTTTCAATGAATTATTCATGATTTTGATGATCTCGAAATGTGATGAGTATAATTTAGAGAAAAAAAAACATCTCTATTTTTGTACTTCAATCAAAACTAAAAACATTTCTTTTTATAAAATACACCTTTCTTGAAAAGAAAGTGATAAAAATACATCAACTGTAAAAAAATTTGTTCATGAAAGTTAAATTACGTTTCACATGGAATATGGTGTGAAATTTAAAGTATTATGATTAAAATTTTAAAAACCTCATCTTGAAGTATCGATTTGTATTTATAAAATAGAAAATAATTCAACTCGTATGATTTGATTCAATTTCTTATCACTAGCTATTTTATTGTTGATTTATTTTATGATATAGCAGATAGCTAGTGCTTATATATTCATTATTGCGTCAACAGAAAGAAGTCCCAAACATTGAATATACATCAATTGATTCAAGCAAAATTAGTATTGATGCACCATGAGAAACTTTCAACACAACGATAGATTTTCGTTTGAACTAGTTATTCGATCCATTAAACTTGAAATAGTAGAATTCGAAATTATAAGTGTTCTAAATAATAATTATGTAAACTATTAAATATTACCTCTAATTGATAATAAAAATACAAGGTATTGATCTAGGATGATTTTTAAATTTTAGCATTTATCTTTCAAGGTATAAACTACCGTAAAATATTGAGTAATTGGACAGTTCATTAATCATAACAGTAAACTGGTTTCTGAAAAATTTTACCAACTTAAAAAATCTCTAAAATGATTAACTCGTGAATTCGAGAACGATAATTTTAAAATTAAAAAAATTGACGATGCTCATTGATTCAAATAAATAAGGAACTTTTTATTTGAATTTAATATTTATCATATAGATAGAACAAATTACTGAAGTCAATAACTGTCATTCATTAAACTTGTATTTTCACGAATTACAGCTTCAAGAGTAATAAAAATAACTACACGTCATGGATAAGTGTCGAGTTTTTCACACAGAGTGAAAAAAATTGAGTGTAATTGATAGATCTTTCTCTTTTTGACAGCAAAGAGAATTTATTCATCTATCAGAATCAGAAGAAAAATCAATTTATATTGGTGTATTTAGGATATTTATGAGCATAAAAGTAGATTTAAAGGATAATAAACTTGGATATATAATTAAATTGATTATATAAAATGAATCATTTGCTGTGTAATATGAATGTAATTTTTATACTTACCGTCTGTATCAATTTCTTCTAACATAGTTCTTAGCTCTTCAGTCCGAGCAAATTGTCCTAAACCTCTCATCACTCTGCCAAGTTCTTCTTTTGTGATACTTCCATCACGATCCTTATCAAAAAGATTAAAAGCTTCTTCAAATTCTATAAAAAAAAAGAATAAAAACTTAAAACTAGTTGCATTCTCACTACAACAACTATTATTATATCCCACTTACCTTTCATTTGAGCTTTACTAATGGCTGGCATCTGATCACTGGGACAGCTAGAACCTCTTCGACTATCTGGAAGTTCAAACAGCAAACTGGTAGGTAGTCGAGTTTGTCCAGATACCGAAGAACTAGAGGCTGTCGAAGAAACCACCAAAGATTCCATCTCGGGCTCTGAAGACTCATGTGAACTTACTTTAATTGCTTGCACATGACAACTATCGACTTGTCTATGAAAACACTGCGGCCTAATGTCTGTTGTCTCTTCTACTTTTTGACTTCTTTCTTCTTTTGGTGGAAGTTGCTGTCGGATCTGTGTCACGTTGAAATCACTTGGCACCGATGGCTTTCGAACATCCGTCCAGGAAGCTTCACTTATCGATGGCCTCGAAGAACAATTGCCTGACTCTGTATCATTACCGCTCCCTCCATCGGTGTCTTTACGAGTCTGCAAAAAAAAGTATTATATCAAGTTCTATTAACTGTCTAGACGTTCATGTTTATAGTTCACCCACAGTGATATTGACACAAGAAAAGTTGTAAGTTATTTCAGTAAAATTAGTGTCCATGATTAATTATAAAATATACACTGTCTAGTACATGTGACTACACTTTTCTACGTTATATTGATTGTGGCAAGTAACATTCATTTCAGAATTAATATAGCTTAAACTTGGTGTCAAATGAGCAAACTTTTTGATAGGTTGATGTAACTACCAGAGTATTTACTCTTATCCTTCTATAGTACTGAATAAAAAAAATCTAATCAACCAAAACCATTAGTTTTTAGAATCAATGTTTAATTTTCACTAAATACTGTTTAAAAATATGAATTCATAACCTTAAAATTTTATTGTTCTTTTATTATGAATACTAACTCGACTTAGTATTTAAAAATTAAAATAGTGTTCAACATTAACACATTCATCATTTTGGAATTCCCTTTACTATACAGAAATATTAATGATGCAATCTGGCAATATTGAAATAGATATTTATTTAACAATGATCCAAGTTCTGAAATAAGTCCTTGAAAATTAGTCAGATTCAATAATTAAAGAGCCCAAAGCTTTCAAAGACTGATTAACGGCAAAGAGGCGGAATTCTGATAGGAAAGGAAGACTTCAAAGTAGTTTCTATCACTGAATCGTGTTGTGCATGGAAAAGGATATTCACTGTGATGCATTTGAGGTAAATAGACCTATGTTGATATGCTTGACTAAATATGGGAGCTTACAGAGTCATATTACGCCTGTTATCCTATATCCAACGTTACTTTATCTTCTAGTTGCATTAATAAGTGGTTGTAAATTTCTTCAAGTTTATTTTCTTTAGTACTATCATATACAATTCTGTAAAGCTATTTAATTGTTCAAATCAGTGCTCATAGAATCAGAAAAGTTACTTTTATTTCTACTTTGGTAAAAAACTAACAACTGTTTTATCTCAATTACATCCTGGAATTGCTGTTGGAATTTCACGAGAACTGACACTAGTAGGCCACCTGTTAAACTTCTGTTGTATTGGTAAACGTACACTGAGATTGCTAGAGCTATTTTACTGGCAGGATAACGCTACTGAAACCAAACAGTATCAATGTTATTTCAGTTATGTGGGCTATTATCAAAAATGACTTTGATTATTCTTTTAATCCTTATTTTTATAAAAAATAGCATTAATGTGATACTTGATAAGATCTAGGACGAAAATCTACAGCCTAAGTTTCTCAAAACATATCCTATATCCTATGGCCATACTGTATGAATCGAGAAACTCGTGTGAGTAAATTTGTGAAGTCTGTTAACCAAGTCATCTCATAAACTGAGAAGTTGATGTTGGGCAAGAGCAAGTAAAGGTGAGTAATTCAAGTCCTCGACATTGAAATATCGACAGCGTGAAATAAGATCTATATTCACCTAAGTCTGGCAGCAATCTATGACATTCATTAGTCGACTTACTTAATTGTCTTATACCACTACGGTCAACCTTAATCAATCAACTACCCATTATTTAGCTTTCCACACTTATCGAGTATGGATTAGATACTTAGTCCATCATTCTCATGATTAAAATGCTTGGCTTTTCTTCAAGCAAATATGAAAGTATAGAATAAAAATACTGATACCAAAAAGGTGTATCATTAAATCACAGTGAATATAACATCAAACAACCAGAAATGAAAATCTTCAACCTCTGGAAGACAATATTTTATTGAAAATGATTTGAGACATATTATGTTTTTGAAATAAAAAGAATTATCAAGTAAAGATTTACTCACGAATGAATGATCAAACAATAGTGGGAGATTGAAAATTCTCTACTTGGGGAAAAGATTGTTGGTGAGAAAATAATGATTTATTTCATTTCTTTTCATTTTAATAGAATCCATAATAATTCTTGTAAGTAATTATTTATTCACTGTCCAATTTAAACCCAAAATTAGCTAATGTTATTTTTACTTGATGATATGAAAGTATGAGATCTGAAAGTATGCAGAGACAGCAAGTTAAATAAAATTACTGAAATAGTTTCTAAGTTTATATCCCTAGACTAGACTTTGATGCTAAGAAGAAGGATTAATAATTATAGTTGCGCAGTAACAATAAATAATCTCTGTTTATAGTTTCAATACAGTTAAAAAATAGTTCATAAGAACTTAATAAACACCATCGTTAATTTCATAGCTAATTTTTTATTCACAAAAAAGCAATAAATCTTAAAGATAAAAAATAGTAAATTTTAGCTTTTTTACGTGACTCTAACAAATTACTACTTTTTTTATCGATTTCTAATAAGCTAAATCTCGTTGAAACGAGTACGATTTTTTATTTATTGTTATGCATATATGTATTTTTTGATCATTTTCTAATATAATTTCAGAGAATAAAAGAAAAAGACTTTTACAACTTTAACTTTCATTTGTGAATTTACTTTTACAATTTATTTTACTCGATTTTCAATGAAGCAAACTATGAAAACATAATTTAACAAGTATTAAATGAAAGTGACAATTAATAAATCATATTAATTCAATTATCCTTTTTCTATTTCTTGGTTTTCCAAATAAACAAATTTATCTTCCAAGAAGCTATATTTTTACACAATGGAGATGGAAGCAACATTGAAATTAATCTTACTTTGTACGTAGTGAAATCATTTAAAGATGAATTAGGTATTTCAAAAAGTCATGAATGTCTGATAAAGTGAAAAAAAACTAATATTAAAAAACTTTTAATTTTTTTATCATTAAAAATTCCTTTGTTATTATGTGGAAAAAGTTAGAACAATAAAAGTCCGAGGGAGTCTAGTTACTCAAGAAATCATAACGAAGTTTACCTAAGAACGTTACAAGATGTTTAAAAAGCGCTCACAATCTTATAGAAGTAGTTGAAGAAAGTTGAATCTCCGACGTCGTATCATAGCGATAAAGATCCTCATCCTCAAGTTAAAATGTTAAACAGATAAAATTATCATCTTCCACCATGAAATAGTTTATAAGTGCCATTATTCTACCCACAAGCTCATTTAGTATTCAAATGTACTACCACCAACAAGTACTTATATGATAATAAGTCAAATCTTTTACGTACTTGATATTTCATCCTTCAAAAAAATATTATCGCGCAAAGTACACATTCATTAAATACAAGTATAATTTTCTGATCAAATTTCAGTTTTAGTTCTAAGCTGATAAAGAATCCTGTCTGTTACTACTAATAAGACGATCAATCTATTTTATTTGTTTTTTATTTTATTTTTTAATCTTAACAGTACTTCGAATTTAGTGTAAAATATGTTTATTAGATTTATATTTAAAAATTAAGTTTTATAATAAACTTAATATAACAAAGAAACTGATCTAATTGATTTTGATTACATATTTCAATTTCCATTAATAGTCCATATAAGGATTCATCATAAAGCAATAACAAATGTGTTGGAACAAAGTTAAATGAACATGTCAGACAATTTTGTTGAGTAATTTAATTCGTTGATATTTTTTAACTTCAACTTCATAATTGTATGGTATTCAGAGTTGACGACAACAAACAAAAACACCAAATATGATGTAGATTCCAAAAAAATTAATAAAAAACGAGGTAATTAGAGCAATCGAAGATTTACAATTTGATAATACAACTTTTTACACTAGAAATCTTGGACTAAAGTCTACTGTGAAACAGCTTCAAGAGTACTTTTTCCTTACATTCCCTCAATGAGCCAAAGTTAGCTTTCCTGATTTACGAACAATTGAATTACTACTAATTCTAGTCACGGTTAGTCTATCAATATCGACTTTCCATCTTTAACAAATGCAAGTAGTTTTAAAGATTTTTTTCAAGTTCGTACTCAAGTTAAAATAAATATTCTACCATTTAGAAAGTTCTTTCTTACAGATACGAGTCATGGATCTTTTCTAAAGTCCAATCAAATTATACTCTTCCTTTTAATACTTTTTTTTTCAAACTGGATTTCTTTCCTTTTATCGCTTTTATGGTTTATCTAATGATTTTTAGCTGTCTTTTCTGTGACATATTTAACTAGCAATTAAATTCACTTTTTTTTCATTCTCATTTTATATGCGATCTACTTTCTTCCATACAGTAGTTTTTTAGAGGATACCCCGAATATCCAATGAATGAGGAAAAAAAGATTATACGTCTCGAAAACGAGATTGTAGAGATGGGACAATCGATTACCACACTAATACTGTCAATATTGTCTGTATCCCATTTTATCGTATCGTCTTCTTTATTTTTCTTCCAATTTACTAGCTTCCATTGCCAGAATAAATATAACATAAATTTAATTGAAAATTTGGTGATGCGATCAATAAAAATTGGCTTGCGGTTTTAGATAATACAAATCTACACAAAAAGGCTATTGTTTTATATTTTTTTCATTACTAATTCCAGAAGAGATTTTCTTTTTCGTATTATTATTACAATGTATGTTGGAAAATATAATATACTAATATCACACGAGAGAAATTTCAAATCTCAAAGTTGAATTAGTATATTACGTGATTGAGCTGTAACATATCAGGCTTCTATATTCAACCAAATGAAAAATAGCATCAACAGAGGTTTTTTTTTTTGTAAAATTTACATTAAAAAAATTTTCAGTTCCTTTTTCATCTCCATTCATAGGAGCTAATATTTGTAAAAATATTAATGTATCATGTTTGAATAAATTTAACTTTTTGAAGATAAAATTGATACTAAGTGATTAAATAATGTTAGAGTTTTTTTTACAAACAAAACCGTTATGATTATAAGAACTATTTCAAACTGAATATATGCGTAATTATAATAAAGATAATCATATTGATAATCAATATCAATATTTCATTTAAAAGTTTTAGAAAAAAGAATCCTGTGGCTTAAAGTAATGTTATTTATCTACTTTATAATCAATATTATTAATGTTTTAATAGAGTATAATTTT